ACCCAGAATCTCTGCCGTTGGAGATGCTGTCCTTTGATGAGTTGTTAAACTGATGTCCTAACTATTTGGCCATTAGATTTGGTGCATAATGACTACCGCACAACACCCAAAAGAAAGTACTGCATTTAGGAGTGGATGAAGTTTTTTTTTTCTATATGAAAAGTGCTTTAAAAAAAATTAAAAATAATCACTTAAATGTACATGTTATTTGAGGAAAACTAATTACTTACTGTAACATATTACTTTGAAAAATAATGTGCCTCTACTTTAACAACTATGTTACCATTACTGTTTACTCCAGATTTATACTTTGTTTGATGCCCACACAAGGATCATATTAGATGGACACGGACATACTGAAACTTTTCAATTGCCTGTGGTGATCTAATACCTTTTCTGTTTGACCATTTTCAATTCATGATTAAGAACCGACAAAAATAGACAATTTTTGACAATCTGAATTAAATAATGTTTCTCTTCAATCTATGTGATATCTGTATTGTATTGCAAGCATTAGTAAGATAACTTTAAGAATAATCCCAGGGTGATTCTAGAGAAGAGTAGGGGTGTAACCCCGGCTTCCTGGCCAAATTTCCCATTGGCCCTTACCAATCATGGCCTCCTAATAATCCCCATCTATGAATTGGCTTCATGACTCTGCTCTCCGCCCCCACTGATAGCTGATGTGTGGTGAGCGTTCTGGCGCACTATGACTGCCGTCACATCATCCAGGTGGGGCTGCACAGTGGTGGTGGTGAGGGGGAGTCCCCATTACCTGTAAAGCACTTTGAGTGGAGTGTCCAGAAAAGCACTACATAAGTGTAAGCAATTATTATTATAAGAAGCTACATTACAGGTTACATACCATTTACATTTAAATGTCAAATAATTTTTGTAAGGGGTATTGTATACATTTTCATCTGATATAGTTGCAGGTATATAGATAAAATAAACACTTTCTCTGTTTTAAATTAATTAACTTATTGTCATTAAAAAATGTTGTCTTTCACTTTGATGTTCTACATGTTCTACATCTTATCTTTAGTTTATCAGTAGAAACAAAAAGTATCTGGTCTAATATAGTGTTTGATGCTCTTGATCATGATCTTTTTAATTTGGGTTTGTAGGAAATATAGTCTAATTCTATTTTGCGTCTACCATTATCTCATAATCCCAAAGGAAATATACTGTACATAGTTACAAATAATGGGTCACAAAATATCCTTTTGACTGAACTGAAAAATAAATAATTATAATGCCCAACCTGGTTATGATTTTTATTCTTTACCAATAATATACCCAAGTGCTTGGAAGCACATGAGTTCTTTGTTCTTTAGCAGAGCTTTGGTAAAAAAAAAGTAATAATGCTGGTACACTGGGTTAAAAAAAACATTTATTCATAATGACAATAACACACTAAACAATATAAACATTCAACATAAAAGCTACACAATTAGCAAATTTATGCACAAGGTGTTCAAGAGGTCTACATCCTGTCATTCACCCAGAAAAAAAAAACAGACTGCTACCAAGTATTCTTAAATAATGCCTACAAAGGCCAAAAAAAGATAAAAGGCTGCCTTCTAAACTAAACAGAATATGACCTACAGATGCTGCAAATGAATTAAAAAGGTATAATTTAAATCTCCCTATTCTAGAAATGCACTCACAAACCCAGAGAGGTTTTTAACCAAGGGACCCTTTACACAATAAATCAGAGTTCCTAACAACAGAATAGCAAGCCCTCTTAACAAGTACTTAACTCCAATCTGGTCTTTTTGGATGATCTGGACAAGGAGCTTTCACCTTCTGCCTTTCCTCTTCTGTCCTCATCTGCCTCTTCCTCTTCTTTTGTCTTTTTTTCTACCTGCCTGTTTTATGCTGTGTTCCTGGATGGTTGATAGACACTTAATGTTTTACCCAGAACTTAATTAGCTAAAAGAAACCATGGTAAACATCACAGTTGCTTAAATTACTCAATCTTACACCCCTACATCTTGGCAAACATCTCCTTGCTTTCAAGATACAGTAGAAATATGACACTAGCCAGGTTCACCCATTGTATTTAGATTCTTAAAGACACTTCATAACTATATAATTGAAAATATCAGAATTGAAAAAATATACATCATGTGCTTTACAATGTATTGACATCTATCCATCCATTTTTTAACTGTTTCATTTAATTCAGAGTTGCAGGAGAGCAGGGTCCTAACCAAGCAAGCAACAGGCACAAGGTAGGGTACACCCTGGATGAGACGCCAATTGATCTCAAGCGAGCCACTGACACTAACACAGACGTGTACAAACTCACAGCTAGGCCAATTGTTACCATAAGCCAAATTACCTATCATTATGTCTTTGAGCACCCAGAGGAAACCCACAAGGAGACAGGAAAAACAAACTCCATGCAGACAGCACACCAGGAAAGCTGTACCTTAATAGCTAGAATACATTGGCAAATTGTCAGTTAAGGTCAATTTAGGTCATTAAGAGTTGAATTGAAATGAAAGCCTGCAGACGGACAGGCCCTTCAGGAGTTATATTGCCCTGTTATATAATATACATTTGTGAATATCACAATGTTTATGTTAAAAAAATGTTTTGTTTTTTGCAATACATCAGTATTATAGGTTCAAGACTTGAAGTTCTTCAGTAAAATAGTTCCATTCGAGTCATAATGATAGTAGTAATTTCATTTAAATTCCTGTTTTTTCTCAGCCCTTAAAAGCAAATCCAAAACATCAGTATAAAACCATTTCACTCATCAGCTGTAGTCATGCACTGTAGGTGCTGAGTATTCATAGCAGTTCAAAGTAAATTAGACACACTGCTGGGCTGTATTGTAAGCTGAAAAGCCCTCCTTGTCTTCCAACCTGTTTGACTGTGCATTCCCACAAAATGCCTATTTATAACATTCAGTTCCAGAACTGAAAATTATGTCAAATTCCTATTTATGTTATTGCCAATTTGTAGTAAAAAAGTACAAGCATCCCTAGAGGAAACTTGGTTAGGAGGAACAGCATTTGGGAAAATCTAGTTTTATTTTAAAAGAAATTCATTAAGTCTTACTTGGCACGACGATGCTGGCCCTGATTACATGACACCCATTTAAAGAACTGAGAACAGGAAAGTCAGAACGTTTTACAGCTTTTGGACAGCTGAAGTGGAATTTATAAGCAGAAATGTTTGGTTGTGTCTTTTTGTGTTGGAAAATGACCCAAAAGTGCACTCATCAACATTATGTATGGTGTTGCCCAGATAAAATTAAATAGGTTAAAACTGTACTCACCTTCTGTAGGTCAGTATTAAACAGAAAATGACAGAAAAATAGGAATTAATTTTGTAATTTGGACCCAGAAAAAATGGTGCAAACCTTACCAATTGATAGTTTTATTTAATGATTTACTTAACCCACATTTTTCTGAAAACAAAATTAAGTGCAAGGGAGGTGTATATATACCTAAGCAAGATTAAATTATTTAAATTATTTAATGTTTCCCAAAATGAGTCAGAAAGAGCACCTGAAAAACCAAAATGACTTGCAAAAATGACTTGCACAGTGCCCTTTACAACACATAGAAAGCATATGCCTTTGTGTTAGCTGCTCTGTCTTTGGTTTCAGTTTAACTGAGCTCTTCAGGGCCAAACTGTCATGCCCCACACTCTCCCTCGCAAACAGTGTTGCATTCCCAAACTCACTGTTTCACAATCTCATTCCTAATTGAACCCATCACATTCCCACATGTACTAGATTCACACAAATTCTCACTACCGAACCAATTATCAAACTACATCCCTTTCCTTTCAGTATTTCAAGTTCCCTCACACACCAACCCATGCTCACTATTGAGAAGCCTGCAGTAGAAGTCGTGTACGTGTGCGTGTGCGTGTGCCTTTTGACTGATCTCCTGGTACCAAATCTTTACTCCTGCCATTTGGAGTTCTCTCATTACTGGACTCATTGCCTCCCTAATCGACCTAGTCCCTAGATTTCGTCTTTTGGATTGTCCCTGTGCTACTCTGCATTCTGCAGGATTCACGCTTACGCATTAGGATCCTCCTATTCTACCAGTTGGTTTCCTGACACAAACCTGATTAAAAAAAAGTCCAAGACATTCCACTTCTAAATGTTAATGGTAAATAGGTAAGGGTGAAAGAGGCCACTGAACAGACTTTGAACAGACCTCAAAACATTTAATGATACAGTAATCATTGAATAGTATATGATTCTGGAAAGTCAAGGTCTCTGTCTCACTTATTGACTTACTATTATCTCTTCAGATGAGATAGGCCTATCTGTGCTAAATCATACAAATCAAAACTAGATTAACAATAATAGTAATTCAAAGAGTTGAACTATAAAGGAATACCACTGGGTCCACTACTCTGAGGAAACTAGAACTGTAAAATCTGTCATCTTTAGTGTTAAACTGTGAAAAATTGTGGCAGACAGATGTTATGTTTGTGTTTTTAGTCAAAGCCTGTTTTTACAATATATTTAGTCTTTCACGTAGACTTGTGGAAGAAAGAATGCATGTATTCATGGTTTTATGTCCAGTATCATTTTTTAATGGAGTAAAAAATTGAGTAAAAAGCAGCAGAGAATTTAAAGTCCAAAAAACACTGCATCGCACTGATTGAAAAAAAGAAATTACTTCACTGAAAACATAGAGTATCAAAGCAGAACAATAAACTGTGCTTTGGAGAGGATTCTCAGATTAATAGTACAACACACAATTAACGCTCCTTCAGAGAGTGAACTAATAACAATTCTGTATTTTTTCACAAACATACAGTACAATCACAATATATGTAATGAATCCACGGTTATAAGAAATAAATTTAGACTTTTCCAAACTGTCCACTACAAATAATTGCCCATAAACAAAATCAAGGTGCACACAAATTATTGGAGCTCCAGTGGTTGTCCTTGGGAAAGACAGCCTGTAGCCTTGCCAGTCTGTTATGTAACACACATAATTTAATTAAGCCGTTACCTCACTGTCAGTGAATATGTCCACAGTTCTTGAGCAAATTTAATTTCATTCCTTTGCGTCAGACGAAAAAATCAATTTTGGTCCCAAAGGCTGTCTAATGCAATCTTCTTCTGAGATTTTTATCAGTTGTGGAAACATTCGTTGGTGTAGGGTCTTCATCTACAATCAACAGAGAAGTATTTATTTCAGTTAAATATTTTTTAAACAATTTCACACAAATGATAATAAATGCAGGCTTTCAGTGTTCTTTGAACAATTTACTTGAGGTGTCTAACTATTGGTTAAGAATTAATAGAGAAGAATAACAAGAGCTCGCAGTTAAATTAAACATTATATTTTCCCACAGAAAGACCTTACTATTGGTATAATACAATCCTTTTATGTGACCATGATGCACAAGACCAAGCTAACAGATATACAATACAATATATGTATTTGTGTATGATTTGTTATATTTGTAAGGCAGGGCTACGCGTTTGTTATACAGTAGTAGTTCACAGTACTTAACTGTGTTACTCTGAGATGTTAAAGCTTTAAAAATGTTCTTTCAGGTAAATATCCACCACTTAAGTATCTCACCCACCTGAGTGATGAAGTTCAACCACTCTACATAATCAACACACCACACAGCACATGAAGTGAGGAAGTGAGAAATTACCTTAGCATTTCATTTAGTGGAAAATGTAGGTAAAATCAAACCGAAAGAAGACTTTAACCAGGACAATGAGATTAGCACACCTATTCTTACAAACAGGGACATAAGATCTTGAATGACAACTATTCACAGATTTTCCTTTTACCAGACTGAAGTATTGGTTTATAACTTGTAGTCCAAAGAGTACAACAAATGTTTCAATTACCTACCAAATCCTAGCAGAATTCACACTGGTGTTTTTTAAACACAAATTTCAGTCTTTTATAACCTGAATAGGAATTTCAGCATCAATACTAGGATAATAATACACCAAGCCCAGGGCAGGTAGAGTTCCTACAGATTTTATGAATCTTCTGTGATTTCTAAAGTAATATGGGTAAGATGTGCTCTGCTTAGGAGCTAGAGTATGTTTGCTTTCATCTTTTGTCAAATAAATATGTAAAACATGTCAGACTTTTTTAAGATTAGATGCTAACTAATTAAAACCTTAATTAAAAGGGCTATTGCACATACCTGTGCTATTTAGAGACATTTAAATTCCCTTTGGAAAAAAATAGGGCAATTTTCTTCACAAGCAAAAATTCTGGCTCACATTCTGATGACTCTATCCTGTTTTATCGAGCAAAGAAGCTAAGAAGCAACTGCCAAGTCTTCCAAACTGCAATATGCTTGGGAAAGAAATTAAAGTAGAAAACTATAACCAATACAAGAGTAGTAGGTGCTTCTACAGTTTGGTTTGTAAGAAAATAAATTTTAGTCAACTTTTAATTTTCATGCGTGAAGCACTATTAAAATCAACCTTGATGATATAAACATTAAAATAAAGGTTTCTTAAACCTTTCTTAAACTTAGTTTATTTATGTTTTAAGATAAAGTATACATAGAAATCCTTATGTTCCTCATGATTTCACCGATAGTAAAATGCAATTGATTTACAGTACTGTAAAAAAAATACTAAGGAAAATACATAAAAAGGATGAATGGTTTGTCAAAGTATGCTGCCACAAGACACTAAAATAGCCATTAGAGATATTACATGACAGTACCTTGAATATTTCCCATTTTCTTGTAATGCATGGCTGTTTGGCAGACATTCGTGGAAATGCTATGGTGAAATTTTTGATTGCTCTTAATCTCCTGACTACAGTTTTAAGAAACTTTGGGCTAATTTTGTTGGACAAATTGTTAAATGAGAATGGCTCAACAAACACTTTGAACTGCAGTTAACAAGATTAATCAAATCCTATTCATAGTATATAAATAATGTGTGATTAGCTTAAATCACACTCAAAATTAGAGTATAGCTAATATGGTCTAGACATTCTTATGGCATAAAGACAGCTCAGGAAGCACTTAAGAATATTAAAACATAAATAACAAGATTTTAAAAATATGTAAGCTTGTACTTTGATTTAGATTTATATAATATTTATACTATTTATATCAAAATATGTATATCAAAGTACAAAGAGGAAGAGGTGTTAGTGGGGCCAGCAGGGGGTGCTCACCCTGCAGTCCATGTGGCTCCAAATGTCCCGGTATAGTGACCGTGACACTTTACTGTAAACAGGCGCCATCCTTCGGATGAGACGTAAAACCGAGGTCCTGACTCTCTGTGGTCATTAAAAATTCCAGGGCGTTTCTGGAAAAGAGTAGGGATGTAACCCCAGCGTCCTGGCCAAATTTCCCATTGGCCCTTACCAATCATGGCCTCTAATAATCCCCATCTATGAACTGGCTTCATTACTCCGATCTCCTCCCCACTGAAAGCTGATGTGTGGTGAGTGTCCTGGCGCACTATTGCTGCCGTCGCATCATCCAAGTTGATGCTGCACACTGGTGGTGGTGGAGGGGAGTCCCCATTACCTGTAAAGCTCTTTGAGTGGAGTGTCCAGAAAAGCGCTATATAAGTGTAAGCAATTATTATAATTATTATATATCAGGCTTCTCAAAGAAACAGTTTCTATTAACCTTCTATAATTTATAAAATTTTACAGCAGATTATCCATGACAACAACAAATTGTTCTATGACCTGAAAATGGAAATTTAGCTGGTTATGGCTCTTGTTATTCCAAGGCTACCTCAAGATCTGTCCAATCCTATCACAGCCACACATGGCTATCCACCCAGGCCTTTATATTAGACAGGGCATTTGATCGATATGCCTTTCTGATTCACTGAATATGGTAGGAAAACAAAACACTGTGTTAACATCATAATACAGTGATAAAAACAGGTTTCTGGTGCTGATTAGTTACAATTAATTATTAGCATTGAATAATTAAATGTTAGCAGTTGTCTATATACAATGATAGATCTTTAGGATGTTAAATAATGTGCATAACAGGCATATTCTCTCACAAAAGCATGGATTTCATGTTCATTCTCATCTCCCTCTAGATCCCATCCTCACCTATTGTAATTCTAATATTTAGATTTTTCTGTTGTACTGATCAAGCTTATTCTTATTTCTTCACTTGTCGCATTATTTTGGTAATGATTTAGATTGAACAATTTTCTTTGCAAATTCTAATAATTTAGTACGTTATAGTATACAAAATGTTAGTGGTTGTTATGGTATGGTAAGCTATGGTGCTATCTGAAAATTTGTTTTAAATTAGAATTATTTTCTTAAGTATAATATTTTTTTTAAGTTTTAGTTGATTAATTCTGTATTTGTGTAAATTACTTTAATTAAAAGCCCTGTCCAATCAAATAAACATATTTTTTCTGGACTCCATCACCTCTGTTTAAATTTCCCTCTTTTATAAATATCCATTGTTGCTGTTCATTTTAGAAATTATATGTCTATAGAAAATGACTTATGAAGGGTGCATTTCTGAGACTTTTATTAATATTTTCACTTTATTCCTCTGTATGAATAACCTAAAGTTGGCTGAATATTAACAAAGAGTTTTCCACAAAGCAGATGAGATTAAATGATAGAGTTCAATAAGAGGCTTTCAGCCCTGTGTTGTGACATTCTCTGTACTTATCTTTGTGCCTGGCCAGTGCCAGAATATTAAATGAACTTTGTACATTGTTAAAGATTCTAAGAACAGTCTAGTAAGTGTCACGGATGTCGGAAGGGACAAACAGTGGAGAGGCAGGAGAGCAGAAAAAGACCCATATGCATAGCGGCGGTACGGGGGATTAGCCCGGGCTCAGCAGTTCAGGAGTCGTATAGAAACCAATGCCCTCAGGGAGCGGACGTGGGGCGACTTGGCTGCTAGGCGGGTCTTAGGACATCTGAACGTCAATGCTGAGCGCAGGAGAATAAGTGACCCAGAAATATATAGCCCCAGAGAGAGACACAGCACAGGAAACTAGGGACAGGACAGAGTAGGAGTGCCCTCTGGCTGCAGAGGGTGTGACAGTAAGCTTTGAACCTTTTGATGATACTTTATATAAAGACATAAAGTCGAAGAAAATATGTACCAATAAGATATGGTTAATGTCTGGTACTTAAGCAGAAGAATGTTTAAAATACCTAAAAGATTAGCTTTTTTTTTTTCTGTGCTCTGGTTTAAATTTAGCAAGGATGTGGTTATCATTTACAGTGAAAGCATATGAACTAAAAACAGATATTAGATCATTAAGCCTCCATTATCAGGAAGCTGCTTATTCCTGGTAAGGATTATAGTAACACAGAGACAATCCTGACAATATACTGTAGGTGTAAGACAGGACTACAACCTGGACTAGAACCCAGTCTGTCACAGGACACACCCATGCATGATTTCGAAACACCAGTTAATCTACTTAGAAGGTCACAGATGCTCAGAGGGATCCCAGAGCAGCCGGAGAAAACTCAAGAGAATACAGAGAGAACAGGTACGTTCCACACGGAAGGTGCCCCCCTTCCAGAATGAAATGCAGAACCCAAAAGCCATGAGGCAGCTGCACTAACACCCAGCCACTGTGCAGTCCTTTATGATTTTATCACTATGGCAATTGATATACAGGCCAGCTCACTGCAAAACCATCGGTGGGGTTTTCACAGACAACAGCAGCTTCACACTGGTAAACCTCACCATTGTAGTGCAGTGTTTTCACTTAACAAGTGCATATGTTTCCCTGTAAAAGCGCAGCTTTAGTCTGAATCACTTTTGCCAACAGTTTTGCAATACATAAACATACAATACACAGTCCAACCTTAAATGAGATGTGCCTCTTCCTTCTTATTCAATATTAAAATCTTTTTCCCTGAACCTAAATATTTGATTTTTCTGTTTCTGTGAATACACAGTTTTAGCTTCCTAGACATTCTAGCCAAACACTTGTGATAGGTTCTATATGAAATATAATAATTATCGATCTACACTCAAACCTTAATTTTACTGTACTATGTGTTACTACTTTTGTACTGTGTGATTAATACAAATGCATCCAAGATGTATTTGAAAACAATAAATCAATCCTTTTTAAGATTTGTATACGGGATTCCTGGTATAAACACAAATCCACGTATTTGTAAATAAAAAACAAGAACATCTTTTCAACATAAAACATGCTCATTATTTATTCCAAAGTGATGCGATGATTCAAACAACTGAAACATTCAGCGTGCCTTAAGAAGTCATTGTCAAGAAAGAAAAAAATGTCCTTATCTGACCTTCTCAAAACCTGTATTAGTTTTTTTATCAGTTAAACAATAAAACAATAAAAGAACCTTGCATCTTTTACGCCCGATGTTTTATTTCACGTGAATATGATGCCAACTGAAAATTTTAATACTATTACTGAACTTTCGTCGCATTGTTCTATAACCTTTTAAAATATTTGAATAACAATGCAAAGGCACAGTTAAACAAAGAGAGACATTAACTACATCTTATAACGTCTTCATTCAACAAGTAACCGTACTACTGCATGTCAGTTCATTAATGCATTGATGACGCGTACATGTTTTTATGTTCCTAATAAAATGACCAATTATATATTACACATAGTTATGAAGATGAATTAAATACATTTTCAAAAGCGATATCCTTACCTTTATCACTTGTCTATGCACTACTCCTCGGTCCCAGACCTTGCTAATGTTAAATATAATCATTATCGACGTCTCTGCAAATATACCAGAGGATGACATAGAGTATTAGTAAGATAGCGAAGAGAAACAGAGCGATAAAAATGGCTTTGGTGACAGGAGAAACTAGGGACTGCATGGCACAGCAGACAGCATAGAAGTGTGGAAGCAACAGACGTCCCAGTAATCTGTATGCAGCTGGTACCCACATTTATATATCACACTGTTTGAACGTCGGTCATGCGCGTAAGAAAAAACAAGGATAGGCAAGTCAACTCACGAATTTATTCCGTTGGTACCACAGTCAAAGCGAAATGGTTTAGTATGATTGCGAAAATATGCAGTTGTGTCTTTTGTTTCAAATTTGTTTAAAAATAGTAAACGTGGATAGCAGATTTGTTTATAAAGGAGCTATGAAACATCGACTCCTCCACACACACAAATAAACGATAAGCTATAATCCATCACTTGACTTTCCTACAAAGCAGATACCTTTCTTCTTCTCCTGCTGTTGTGTAACTGAATTTTTTTTTTCTGGGTCTCCCTGCTACATATAGAACAGATTCTGATTAACCATTGTGTAACATGTTATGCTTTGAAACGTATACACTTGCAAAATAGTATTTTGTTTTTGCATGGGGTGTTAGATTGTTGGTGAACCATATGCATATACTCTTCGGTGAAGAAAGTTATGTGACATTCCACAGTTATACTGTACTTTTCATTTAGATAGATGACTGTTTTTTATTGCCTAGTATGTGAGAATTTCCTTTTTTGAAAAGTTAGTATGTAAGTGTTTTAACTTAATTTCAAACATTTTTCAAATGGTAGTGCATTTTTACATTAACAAGGACTTCCCAGATGTTAAACAATATTAAAAAATAATGCTTACTAAAGATTAATAAAGCCCAGATTACAACTAGTTATTTTAAAACATAAATGTTACAGTATATATTGGTGCTTACCAGGTCAAACAAATTTACTTCTATGAAAACAAAACAAAAACATAAAGCAGAGTATTTACATCTAAGAATAGGAGACATTCTTTTTGTAGAGGGTGGTGGGAGTCTGGAAAAGGCTACGCAACTATGTTGTTGAATCAGAGTAAATTCCTTTCAAGAAATGGCTAGACCTACTAATTTGAGATCCTTTTACCTACTAAAATGAATCTCTCATTTGCAAACATTTGTATTCTCTTAAACAAATCAGTCATGCATAGTCACTTTACATAAAAGACAGTTAAGTCCAATTCTTCACTAAAAGACATACCACCCTCACTTTATAAAAGTCTGTACATAAACTATATAGAGGGCTTTTCTTTCTTTCTTTGCACATAGGATGGGACTTTTTTCATCCAACTCTGAAGTTCTGCACTCACCTGGGTAACATAAGCAGAAGAAGAACTGGAAAATTGATTCACCAATTTAATTAAGCAGTGATTTCGGTTATATAGACTGTAAAAGCTCAGAGAGGAATTTAACCAGGCCACTGCGATTAACATTCCCTACTCTTTCAAAAAGTATCTTGTGATCTTAAATGACCATGTACTCAGGGGCTTGGTGTCATGTCTCATCCAATGGACTGCAGTTCCAAGAACACATTGTGCTTTTTCACTATATTGAGGCACTGGAATGGAAATGTGGTCCAGAGGAAATAACACCCCATACTGGACTACCAACACTATCTACAGCAGCATCCTGTTATCTTTGGGTGTCTTACAGTACCAACCAGGCCCAGGCATGCCTACCTACTGATGAGAGGAGGCCAAAAGGAGGAAATATTGTACAGAACAAAAAAATCCTAAATGGAAAAAAATATATAATTTATTTAAAAAAAGGAAAACAGTTATTAAGATGTTAATGTGAACTGAGCTCCTATCACGGTAGAGGAAGTGCATTATTTAAATGTGATTAAGTCAGAGGAAAATCTCAAACTGCATCTCATTTTGCATTCCAAGCTGCAACTTTTCAAATCCACACACAGTTTATGTACGGCTGCTTTTATGACAGTATTGGAATCAAACTACACCATACATTAAGGCTCACTGTTTTTTAGATTTGTATTTTATTGTTTATAGTTTGTCGCAGTTATATTAAATGTATTCTCTCATACAATACTTTTAATTGAGGGTTGAGGATGTAGCTCTTCAGGGGTCTTCTCCACTGAAGGAGAAAGTATCAACTGAGTATCAACTGTTCTCAAAGTTACTGGGAGTCAGAATGTACTTCGGAGTGACATTTTCACCACTTGCTGTTGATGACTCTTTTGTTGTCGTTGTTGTCAGTGCTTATGGGTGAAGCAACCACTGCCTCTCTGACCTTCTAACATGACAAATTCTCACAGCCCCTGTCTTCCCTGTCAGTCTTGCAGCAGCAAGGGTGCAAACGCCGGTATTCTGTCTGCTTTTGAAAACCAGAATAAAACACCTATTTGCTTGTGTTTCTGATGCTTGAGGGGGTCTTGAAACTGTATTCAGAACAGGAGCTTTTAGTCACAGGAGCTTTGGTTGCTGATGAGAGAGTAATTTTGGAGCTAGTGTCATATTTAGGTTTTAGAACTATAGCACTTGGACTTTTACAGTCTGGATCTTGGAGGCTGCAGCTCAGCTGATTTTGTGTGGTAGGTTTAATCAAGGACAAAAGAAGGGAAAGCCATGGGAGAGGATGGGAGAGGCCGAGGCTCCTCCTCCTGATAGTTGTTCTCACAGACTCTGGGCACCTCCTCTATTAGAACGGAGCTAAGTAATTTGACAGGTAGCAGATGCTCCATCAGCTTCCCCACAAGCTTATAATCCCTCTGCCCTCCGTTACCTTCTACTGTACATCTCATTTGTGCTTTGTCATTGGAACCATTTTTAATTATAACGATTTCTGATAATCTATTAAAAAGGAAAAAAATGCAAATAGCAAATGCATTAGTTATGTAAAGAGAAGGGAGAAAACAGTAAAAATCAATTAGCAAATTCAATGAGGTACAAGACAGATGTGAAAAAAATAAGATTATTTTGCCAAGTGAGCAATTTTTTTACCTAAAAACAAGTGGAGGGAAATTATATAACCTTAGTCCATTGATGTACAGTAGTAACATAAGTAAGAGTGCTAATCTGAGATGACCAAAATATGCACACAAAAAGAAAAAAAGAAAAGAAAACCGATTATATCACAAGCATAAATATATATACAGTATATGAATGTATACATATATAAACATAAAGGCACATTCACTGATCAAATAAAAGGAACCCCCAGTGACTAGCATGTTGGGCCTCTGAGAGCTACAAGAACAGCTTGAACAGGCATCTGTTCACAAGGTTCTGATATATTGCAGCCCAAACTCTTCCCTTTCTTTTAGTTAGACTGTCTTCAGCTAAACTTGTAATGGTACTGAGCTATATGATTCACTGCTTCTGCCAGGAGTTTCAACAAGATTGAAATCTGGGGATTGTTCTGGTCAGGAAAGGTATTGGATGGTATTTTCCTGCTCCCACATATTGTTGATAACAGAGTCTATCCATTTAACTACTGAAGGTTCTTAAGATTTTGGCCAGTAAAAAATATTTAACTTTTTTAACCAAAGGATTTCAGCCAGAGTAATGATACATGACCGAAATTAAAAAATAAATAAAATAAAATGTCATTTAAATAAATGTCCTTTAAAGAGTTGCTGGGTTAAAAGTATTTTTTTAAATAATAATTATATGCAATTTCAGAGATATAATGTGTGTGGTCTGTCTATATGCTCAATAATCATTTCAAGATTAAAAAAGAGTATGACAGGAAAAGACAACTTATTTCATTACACCATAGAATCATCCTACCTTACAACATAGATAACCAAACCTAACATTCACTACAGTCACTATTAATGGCTTTGTGCAATGTTCTGTTTACCCAGGAGGGGTCTTCTTGGTATGAAGCCTGTAGATGATGTAGTAGAAGATGTTCATTACCAGGATGAAGATTAGAAGAAACTCCACTGTGACAAGGAAGTCACTGATCCACTGGAGTCACTTGAGACTGATCTGACCAAATCTTTTGCTTTAAACTGTAGTCACTTTTCCCCATCTGCAGTTCTAGAACAAATGTATAAGAAAAAGTATAAGAAGAAATATGCTCTGGGAGAAATAAAACATGTACAGTATGTAGGAATATGAAAGATGAAATCACACAATTGAAATTCCACATGGCAGGAGAGTTTAAGGAAGTTCCCAAAACATTTTTTTTCTAAGAATTCCTGAAACCATTCTCGTGTTTTCTTCCCCTTTCTTCTAAGGTATTTTTCACCAATTATAATTGCAATGGGAACTTTAATGCACTTCATAATACCTCAGAGTATATGACACATCCTGTTCACATTTCAGCAACACTTTGCACTCAAAATCATGTGAAGAAATCCAGTGTAGCAGAGCGCTCCCATGTGGCTGATTTAGAAAAAGCTTTTGCTTAAAGGGCAGATTGGTTAAATCCTGTAGCCTGGAGTACTGTATGTCAAATTTTGTTATGTTTGGCTCAGTATTCTAGATCTGTTTTGGAGGAAAGATTGAGGTGTTTTTGTCTGTCCATAAAGCAATGGGGTGTTTGTGTGGCAAAACACCAACTTTATTTCTAATATTGTAATATTACAGTATTGTGCATAATGCACTTTATACATAATATATAAAGTATAATGTAGTGCAATGATCAGTAAGAGCTGTATCTGACCTCTGGCCTGCTCCATATCTTTGGCTATATTTTGCATTTCACAGTTTTGGTGCAAAGTAAATGTACTTTCTAATGTACATCCACAATTTAAATGGATTTTAATCAAACAAAACCATTGTATTTCACAGTGATCAAAGATAGTGTTACGACCCCAAGTGTCTAGGGGTAAAGGGGTGTAACATTTAGCATAATTTTTGGAAGCACGTGGATTCTGGTGAGGGACTAGGAAGCGTGACAACAAGGGTCGGTGCAAAAGTGATGATTTTAAGTTGATTAAGTGACTGGTTCAAAAAAGGACACAATAACATACGGGGGTAAGGAACTAGAGTGGTGCCAAAGAAAGAAAATAACAAAAAAAATGAAGTTGACTAACAAAAGTGAGGGAAAGCTAACCTGACTACAAAAGAAAACCCGAAACACACGGTCTTCGGCGTCTTCAACACCCTAGCTAACCTTCACTGACTACCCAAAACCATACAAGACAAATGGCACTCACCTGTACTAACCTAGTGTGACTAATACAAGAATCAACTACGTGTG